GGACTTTTTTCTTCTTCGGTTGCTTTGAAACGCTACGTCCAGATTACCAGAATCAATTTCCTGGGATTTCCTTCTCTTGAGCATGCATCGAGACTTTTAGCAGAGGAAACCAAGGATAAAAACAATTAAGCACAATCTAATAAAAAGCTATATGTATTTTCTAAACCTATATTTTCACACCTCTTCAAAGACCCGTTTAAATGCTAAAACTGGCCACTTACTCTTTGCACCCTTGGCTCAATTTCCTCTTTTAAAAGGCTTAACGTGGCTTAAAAGTCATCCCGATCAGACGGGTATAATTTTTCATGTTTTGTGTCATTTGGCTCAGTTTGTGTGGTTCCACTCTGCTTTTTGGCATTGGCTGGTATTTGTTGTTACACACTTTGTGACTTCTCTTCCCCTTCAGAAGTGCTATGTAAAGAACCTCATTACTAAAGCTAAAGTAAAGTAAAGACAAAAGGCTTGAACTTCATTTAAGTGAACATCCTGCGAAAGATAGCTGAACACGTATGTGTGTATGTGGGCCCCTCCCCCACACAGAGAGTGGCTCAGGCAGCAGTCACTGGTAACAGAGGACAACTTTTAGATCAAATTTGAGAACCTATTATCCAAATGACCTCAAAGTAAGCACTGAACTTACTTAGGTCACTATAGCAAAGCACGTGCCAAGTTTAAATGGATCAGATAAACCTTACTGAAGATAGCCAATGAACAGCCACAGTGATGAGCATACAATTTCTTGAATTATGAGTAAAATAAAGTTCTCCTCAGGGATGCAAGGTGTGGATGACTGAAGGAATGTTAGTAGGGAATTCTGTGATAGATGATCATTAGTCACTTCTCTCCTCCATGTGAATGGAACAGTGCCAAAGCGAGAAAGAGAAGATGTGTCCTTAATCTGCAGTCCCATGGCCTTTTTTTTTTTATCAGCCATTTCTCCCACTTTCTTCCGCTATCTCAATCTTATCTTTTCTCCCACTTTCAAAATGTTCTCAAGGAATGAGTAAACAGAGTGAAATGGCCCATACAGAGATTTTCAGAAACTGATTTCTGGTGTGTTTTCCTGTGTGGCTGTGCTCACCGGGCGTGCACGTCTTTCTGTGTGCCCACACATCAACGGTTCAGTGGCATATTGAAATTGCACAGTGGGCTCCTGTGGTGAAAATGCAGAGGAGTTTCTGAACCTCGATGCAAACCGAAGTGCTTGAGACAAAAGAAGGTTTATTTTTCACTAAGTGCAATTGCAGTTGTTGTGCGATGGTGTTTTACTGCTACTCAAGCTTTGGGCAGGTTTCTTGGAGACATCTGATTTGTTTTTGTCCTGCTAATAAAGGTGTAATGCAGGTTAATCTTTCAGCTTAAATACACCGTGACACAAGCATGCAGGATAGTCTAAGGATTCACTGAACAGGACTTCATTTCCAATATTTTTTTTACAAGTGAGAACTTGTTCTGTTTTTCTCTTGTGCACTGATATCTTGTCCAGCCTTGAATTGACATGCAGTGCTCCAACCATTACATCATAGTACACATTCACCTTCACCCTAACGGTACCACTAACACACTTTTTTTTAAAAATTCTCTCTATATGCAGTATCTGGCCACAGCAGCTACTATTTGGTGTCCCATAGGCTTTCCTCTTGTGTTTGTTGGATAGCGGAACATCTGAGATCCCTGACCCCCATTTTGGTGTTTGGACTGAAGCGTTTTTCACTTTTCACATATCCAAATGGGCAGAATATTGTGAATGCCTATGAGGAGAAAAACCTTCCGACAGTTTATGCTTTTGTCCCTGTTTAAATGCATATCATGTCTCACCACTTTCTCTGACAGCAGGGTTTTCACCCTGTTTTTGACTGTGAGCCATTTGGAACAGCTATAAACATCTTTTTCTTAAGATGCGGTCGGCTGACACACTGTACAAAGTAGTTCACTTCAAACATGGAGAAACCTTTAGGGTTAAAGGAAAACTGTTGCACGATGATTAGATTAGAGCTAGGCAATCACAACACCTGGTTAAGGTCCGACTGTGGCGAGGGGAGAAAAAAAGGACAAACGAGAACAGCAGGTTTGTGCAAACTAGAGTTTTCTGGATGAGTGTGTTTGGCAGTATGCTTCACGTGAGTGATGGCTGGTTGGACGAATAGCTTCTAAACCACACTCAAATCCACATTTTCAACAAGTTGGTTGGCTGCTATCTGGTAGGTGAGAAAAGAGCCAGGATTCAGAGCTTTTTCCTTTTTTTGGGTCATAATTGACACAACCGTTTCTTTCTTTTTCCATTTGTACAACCTCTTACACTGCTGTGAACAGCACAAGAGACGTGTACTAAACAGAAGGTTGGTGGTTTGCTCCCTGGCTGCTCCAGTCTGCATGCCAAAGCATCCTTGAAGATACTGAACCCCAAGTTGCTCTCCGATGCTTTTGCTGGAGTGTGAATGCGTGTGAATGCTAGAAAGAAAGCACTTAGGTGTAGAAAAAAGTGCTTGGGTGAATGATGTGAATGAGTGAGTTGTATAAAATACTCTTGAGTGCTCAGGTGGAAAAGTGCTATATACGAACCAGTCCATTTGCCCTTTGGATGGTCCAAAAATGTGCCCATTATCCATCCATCCGTTTTCTTAACCATTTATCCAGTTTAGGATCCTAGCAGGGCTCAAGCCTATCCGAGCTGTCATGGTGTAAAAGAGCGGGTACACCATGGACAGGTCACTGCACTGTTAACCCTCTATCCCATGTCCTCATCTTTCTATCGTGGCTATTCAGTCCACTTTAAGGATGAGTATTTGCACCAAAAAAGTAGAACATTAGATCTTACAAGTGACTTTTTCATAACCGATCATTCCACCTTTTTACATAGAGAATACATTGATAACAGCCATGGCAAGAACTCTTAGTGTTAGAGGTAAACAAAGAGGTGTGGAATTCTTCAATATGGACATTGTTCTTTGGGGGTTTGGGCTGCGTATATGTGTCTGTGTGTGTTGTGTCACAGAGCAATGATTTTTGATGAGCATGTTGGCTGCTGCAGAGACTGAACCCGTGATTCCTCCAAACACCAGACATTACTCAGATTTTACACATTCATGCCTAGAAGCAGTACAACCCCAATCTTTTACTCTCAGACGCTCTGCAGCTCTCTGGAGTTATTGGAATTCAAGGCTGCTTCACGCTTCAAACAAAGTGCTTGTTTGAGATGAGGGATGCAGTCAGATCGAGTCTCAACAGTTCTGAGTTGGAGGTAAACCAACAATCTGACAGCGATTCGCACTTTCTTCGAGCCTGGTGGAATTAGATTTCTTGCAGTTTTGCACCGGTGTGATTGGCATGACTGTCATCCTCCTCGGCATCATAAAATGCCTTCAAAGTTCTTTCTGCGTAGCTCACCCCTGATTTGTTTCACCACCTTAATGCCATGCTGTTCAAACTCGGCTCCTCACCTCTCATAAATAATGGATGTGGGCTAACTGTTTGTTTTGTGAAATCGTCTGCGAGTAATGCAAGCGCCTTGCTTAAGGTTGCAGTTGATGAGGGAGGGAAGAATCTGCATCATAAGAGCACTTCTCTCACCTTCAGGCCAGATGTTCTGTTCTTAAACACCTCCTTTAATATGCTCTTCATCCATGTTGTATCAATAAATTAGCTGGGCCTGCACAAATGTTGTGGTCTTCCCCCCCCCCAAAAAAGAAAAAGAAAAACATTGCTCCAAGGAATCATACAGTGAATACAAATGAACTCGACTCACTACACTCTGTGCAAGTGAGCGGTGTATAACTTGCAAGTTAAAACAAAACAAAAAAAAAAACATAGTTTTTTTTCCAGGAACTCATTACAGAACCAGCGAGGCAATGCGTAATGTTGTTTTGACTGAATTGTAGTTATCAGTAGGCCACCGTGATGAAGCTCAATTAGAGCAGCATGCTATGAGCTAAGCAGAGGTAATCACTGAGCGGAGGGCAAACTAACGTGGAGGCATGGATATTCACTCCAAACAGAAAAGGCGAGGGATTCACAATAGGACCTGGAGTCGTGGAGAGCAGCTAATGAGCCTACATGATTCACGCTTGGCCTCCCCCACAGAGAGCCTTGTCCTGGGCAGAGTGGAGGCGCGCAAGAGGTGCACTGCTTGCTCCAGCACATTCCAGGATGCAGCCTGTTAGAGCCGGGAGGGAACAGCGAATAAAAGTTTCTCTTGTATAAGGATTCTGTGTCTTTGTATAGTTTAGAATCAGTCAGGAGACCCGGAGAGTTACTTGTGCCTGCATGAGTAAACAGTAACTTTCCCACTTAGGCATTTTCTGATGAGGAGTAATATGGTCCATGAGACTGAATGATCAAATGTGGCTCTTCACAGTGGATGTATTTTAAATGCAAGAGCATTGCTTTTTGTGACAAACAGTGCACATTTAAGTGGACATAATGTATGTGAAAACACTTTTTATAGAGTTTAAGTGTAGGGCTTAATTACGTGATGATGTTTGCGTGCTCATGGAGATTCACCTGCACGTACCTGGGCTTCTTCATTCAGATAACAGCAAGCAGTCCTGGTGAAGGTGTAAGCAAAACTGATTGAAATGGAGCAAATATCAAATTGTTGACATGATTAAAAAAAGAAAGAAAGAAAAAACACACATTTGTCTATTTGGCAAACCTATGTCGTATATATATGTTTTTTTCTGTGAATAGCTTCGGTGTAACGTTTCTTTCCGTTTCTTTATTGTTTCTCTGTATTGTTTCTTTCCTCATTTAACTTCTGAAGCGCTTTTAATGCGCTTTACAAGTTCTGTGTATGTTTGTTTAATTACAAGAGTTGCAAGCTGTATCAGCGCTGCAACACTGCAATCTGTAGATATGTATGTGTGTGGGTAAAGGAGCGGTCTGTCAAATATCTGTAGTAGTTATTAAAATAGCTACTAAATATCCAAGCCAGACTTTTAAACCCATGGAAGATGCGATTGGCTGTTTGCTGGTCACGTGCTGAAGTGCAGTCAGTCGCTGTGCCGTGCCTCGAGCCAGCACTGAGTGGAGCCTGTCTGCCAACAGCTTCAACAGCGGCTCTACCAGGACCATACTACACTCACTGACAATTAAAGGAGGCCCTTTTTCTTCTTATTTTCGAGGACTGTTCTTCACCATGGGTGACAAAAAGAGCCCTACCAGGTAATGCGACCGCTCGCTGTCGATTTCGACTTGTTTTGCGCGTTTCGAGCTCGATATTTGGATGCGTTTCTCTCACACGGGGATCGTTTCTCCCTTTTTCAGTTGGTATGCCACAGCTAGCTAGAATAGTGCAGTCACTATGGCGGCTACTCGCTGCTTTACAGCCCAGTCAGTTAACAGACAAAGGGAATTTTTTCCGAGGATACGCCTGGCATTCCCTGAAACGCTCTTGAGTCTCGACGAAGCCTTTTGCAGGGTCAATGTCGAAATGGGCATTATTTGATATTGGTTTTGTTAGCCGACATGCTAAGCTTCGATGCCGAAATTTTTAGCAATGCTTGCCTGCCCGCTAGCCTAGCTGGCGATTCAATCGGACGTTGTGGATAGTCGCTCGCTCCGCCGCTGTGGAGATTTATGAACCAAGGAGCTCTAACTGCCGGGACTCGAACCCAATATTAATGACAACACCACCATGCCCCGGGCTTTGCTGAGGAGCTCGTTTATTACACAACGCGCTCTGTTTGTCACAATCCCCTTTCTTGTTTATTCGTGAATTATATCTGTGGTATTTCAGAAACTAACTTGACCTTAACATTTCTGTCGTTTGTAAGGCCAAAAAGACAAGCCAAACAAACCGCTGATGACGGCTACTGGGACTGTAGCGTCTGTACCTTCAGGAACACCGCCGAGGCTTTCAAATGCAGCATCTGCGATGTGAGGAAGGGCACATCCACAAGGTAACGTAGCTCTCGTTCTCCCTCGCTCTCCCACTCGTCTGAGCGTCTCGTCTCCCCCTCCTCCTCCTCTTGCCTTGCCTTGCCTGGCTGCAGCAGCATTGCATCGCAATTTATGGGAATGACAACTTTGATCGACAGCCTATTTGTCCGTGAGTGAATGGGGACTTGTTGATGGACAGTCTTTGCAAACACATCCCGCCGCTGTCTGGATTATCTGTAGTTTCTCGTCTTATGCGTGCTAAACATTGTATTTCGCGTTTTTTTTTTAATGCATCCGTCTAGGTAGGCTGCGTGCTTCACTAGCCAAAGGGGGTGGGGTGGGGAAGAGGGACCGTCCTTGATGATAGCTGTACAGCTACGATGCATCCACAACATCGAAGGAGCTGTTTTTTGTTTTTTTCCCTTGTTAACCCCCCATGGAGTCAAACAAGGTGAATTGCGTATGTGTCTGCGCGCCTTTCACCTACCTGTAGGATTGCAGATTGTCATTTAACACTCACACAGTCGGATTTATTGAGCCTGAGACTGATGGGAAGTTTATTTTTGTGGTTATGATTGGCGTTTGAGTGCAAACTAAACATGAATTTTTGGCATTTCAAAAGTCTTAACAGACTTTTTTACTGCCTGTGCCAAGTAGTTTAAGGCACCCTGATTTCAAAGCATGGCCTTGTGTCTCGAAAATCATATTTATCAGTCTAAAACATGTAAATTATTAACCAGAAGTCAAACTTGTTTTATTTCTCCTTAATCTGCTCTCAGATATTGCTCTAGATGAATGTCAGCATTTATAGTAACGGGGTTTGTGTCAGTGTTCCAGACATTTCCCCTAAGTTTAACTCAGAATAAAATCTGTGATGTCAGCAGAAGGCATTGTTTTATGGGAAACTGAGATGAAATCATTGTGTAACTTGAATTTCTTGACGGGATTCCCTTTCGTTTTTGTGTATACTCACGCCTACTCTTTCTGTTCTGGGGAATGTTTTTGATGATAAGTTGCGTGTGCCGTGACCTGTGTTTGTGTGCTAATGTCACCAGTCGCATAGTGGTAATGGAGAGACAGATGAGTCATTTGTGGGTTGGTTGACAAGTTCCCTCGCATTCTAACCTTTACAGCTGTGGTTTACCATAAGCAGCTTGTCTGACACTCCTGGCACATATGGGGAGAAAACACTAGACTGGTTTGCTGAGAATCCAAACGATTGAGCCCGATCTTAATTGTAAGTCTCCCCTCCCCCCTGATCTTTTTTTCCCCCAGCAGCGTGTAGTTTAAGACCACAGCTGATGATGTAGGCTGAGCACGCTGTATGAAAGCAGGAAGCGGAGACGAGTGTGTCATAGCCTTCCTGTTCCATCCCCATTTACCAAGCTTTGGCAACAGTCCAGTTTTCTCTATTTGGTAAAGCGCATGACATCATCGGTGTGGTTGTCACACATTCCTGTTTGATCTGAATAGTTAACCTTTGATTAATGCAGCTGTGTAGTTGTGGGGCTGCCTCTTATTCTAATGAGTACTAATTAGCCATCTTTTTCTTCACTGTTTGATGTATTCCGGCAAAGCTCGGGACGAAGCAAAATGCTCTCAGCTAAATGATTTACACTTAAGGCTGTGTGTGGATGTTTGTCTTGCTGCTTTTATCTGGGGCTCTACTTTGGATGTGTGTTTATGCATGAGGACACACGTGTTTGCTAATTAGAGCTCCTCGCTGCTGAAGTTTGATTTGGATCGCCAGTTTGTGTTTGCTACAAGATGAGCGAAGCTGGGTATTGATTTATTCAGTCAGTGTGACATGATTGTGTTTTAAAGCAAGTTTGAAAAAGCTTGTTTTGCGCAGGGTGATTGTGCATAAGCTGGTTCTTTTCACTCCTTCCACGATATAGAGTTCCTTTTCTGTGTCCTGGCCATCAACATCTGGTTAGTCACAAAAGTCTCTGTTATTGAATATGTTTGGGTACAACAGGTAGTAACCAGCTAACAAAGTATCTATTTCCTAGTTGCGTTTTGAGTCTGGGGGGTCTGGGAATCCAGTATCAGAATAATTCATTCTGTTGAATTTGATGCATCCTATCCTCACAGTGTGCACGAAGCCAGACACCAGAGGGCTGTACTACAAAGCAGTATCGATGTTGGGAGTTTTCAGTGTCATGCACGTGTTTCTCCTTTTGCCTGCTTAGATCACCATAGCAACTTATGCTGAGCATGCAACCTGGTCCAATGCAGGTTACATTCAGAGTTTCAGTGTAAAATTCAGAGATAATATATGTGTTTACGTAGATTTTTAATTTGCTGCCAAGTCCATTTTACACTGCAGGAATTACAGCTCATAAAACACAGATTAGAAATTAATCGGTTTGTTTGTAGTCTTATTTATCAGCAGGATTTATAAATCACTAGAAATTATTTAGCTACGATCTGGCAAACCCCTTAGTGATTTCTCCATCTCTTAACATTCAGCTATAAGACCGTGTTAGAGCTGAATGCACTGATGTTTAAATGTGTCAGTTTGAAAGTGTCAGAGCTCTAATGTGCAGCTGTCAAATCACAAATTAAAATCCAGCACTGACAGTGCACTGAGTGGAGATATAAATATATTTACGTATGAATATTTTTTCCTGCTCTGTTGCCTTCTTTCCTTACTTGCAGTACCAGTGTTGGCTTGGCTTTTGCCATTTTTTTTTGGGGGGGGGGGGGGGGGGGGGGGGGTTAGGCTATTCATTATAAATCTGTTAAATAGCATAGTTGATCCATTTTGTGTTACTTCTGTGGACGAGTAAATGACGCATAAGACAGCCCCATTAATGTGAGCACCCACAGACAGTGAAGAAGAGTGCCTGGGTAAACAAAGTTATTAGTCACTGTTGTGATACATGTTATTGCACATGTGGTTTTACGGTTTCGTTGAACCAGCTAATACAAAAAATCTTGGCCGTGTCAATCATGTTTCGTTATACACCCGTCTGGTGTTGATGGGAGACACACAAGTGACATGGGTCTTGCGGATTTGGAGATGGTGACCTGAATCACACTTTGTCCCCTGACAGCGAAAGGAAACGTAGTTAGCTGTGAGATATTCACCTGTGATTCATGCTAATGGAGACAAAATGTGCATTAACAAGAGCAAGACTGTGGCATCAGCATGCAGGGAGAGGCCCCGTCTTCCCCAGTCGAGTACAGCCTAACGAACCTGTTGACCCAGTTCAGCTCAGTGTTGAAACATGATACCCAAGTAGGCTAAATGTACCCTCTGCCACTCTTGACTCTTAAACAAAAAGCACCCCTGCTTTTGCACCTGACCTCCTGCTAATCTACAAGTCCAAACAGCCCGGGTGTTCAGCCTCGGCATTCAGTGCCCGCTCCTTTGGTAATTGGAGTAGGTCTTGCATTAGCATCCCTTGTGGTGGCCGCTATCATATTTAAATGTTTCTGGCATCTGAACCTGATCACTGTGTGAATGTGACACTGTGTTGCTGTGCATCAGTTTGCTTTGTGGTTGTGTTTGGTATGTACCTCTGGCAGCCCCGGGGCCTAGAGAGAAACCATTAGGAGCCCTCTAAAGTTGATTGATGGTGGAGATCACAGGAAGTCTTGAGGTACCTCAGTCTCTGACTGCTGCGCTGTTATCTCCACTCTGTAGTCAACCATTTCAAGCAGCTTTCATCTCTGCTTTGTATAAAACAGGATAAATGGGTGTCTCTGACACGTAAGCAAAATGCAGTACTGCGTTTTGGTTTAAAGAAGCTTAAATGCAAATGTGCAGCTTATTTGATGCGTAGACTCAAGCAAGGCGGCAGAACCTGAACCTTTAAAAATAGTTTTCAAAGGTCTTACAAGTTAATTCTCAAACTCTAATGAATCATTTTAAAAGAAAATATTCAACTTGGGTTAAGTCTAGTTAAAACGCAGCGACTGCAGATGGACAAGTTAAAGCATGAAAGTAAAGAAAGTATAGAACTGTAATTAAAAATTTCATCCTTTGTGATGCAATCCAAGTAAAAAAATATCTTTGAGTCTAGTAGCCAGATATTTAGCCTAAAATATAAACTCTTTTGAACACTCTTAATGTTTTCTTTTAATTTGATTTAGCTAAAAATATGACTTTTCCCCCCACATTTGCAAGTGAGTCTCTAAGTGAAAACAAGCCAATTCTCTCCAGTCAGCTGCATTTCATGTTACCTCGTCTTGTGTCTTATGACTGTTGCAAACATGCTGCATTTAAGTCAAACGTTCTCAGTTATTGTCCTTAAGGAGATTCAGAGTGGCTGGAATATAAATGATATCTACCTCTAAATCTTTAGTATAGGGTTAAAAAAACGAGCAAAGTCCATCGGTGTTTGTATATGTATATGTTATACACATATATTATAATTATGTCAGTGCGTTTGCATGTGTTTCTGTGTGTGTTTTGTCTGTTTTATGCTATGACGAAATGGTTATTATAAAGCGTGGATTTTCGCACTGTCACATTAAGGCAGATTGTCTGGAATAATGGAATTACATAAGAGAGCGCTCAATTTATATCCGCACTCCCTCACACAAGCCCCCACTGCAGCCCCCACTCAGAGGAAACTGCTTTTGCTTATCCAGCATTATCAGCATCTGCACCAAAGCCCTGAGCATGAGCGGGTAGCCCTAATCTTTACATGTTAATTGCCGGATTTAAAAGTTCTTAATTACTTCATGGGATTTGGCAGTGTGAGTGATTAAATACAATAGCCAATTTGGCAATCTGACAAAACGGAGAAATGTTGAGAGAGCTGTTGAATCCAGGGGCTCCTCCCATTCGGGAAAAAGACGACGCACGCAAATGACTGTGATAGTGAGGGAACGAGGAGTCCTCTGAAAATACAGGAATGAAAGCATGTGAGGACAAAGAGAGGGGGGAGTTGTTAAGTGTAAGTAAGGAGAAGGAGAGGACAGGAGAGAAACGGACCAGTAAAGGGACAGAAGGAGAGCGTTGTGTCTGGACATTTATGTGTGTGTATTAAGAGAGAGGGGGTTTGGC